CAGGAACCATTTTTTATGCCTAGGCGAGCGCACAAATTTTTCTGGTTTCCTTATTTCAGTAGAACTCTTATGGAAACGAATTTTGTGACTTCTTTTAAAACCCTAGAACGTCCCAGAACGGGGGAGGCTGATTATTCATCATTCTTTCATCTCTTTTTGCTCAAGAAACTTATGAAGAACTAAATCTTTTGGTGAAACTACAAAAGAACTCGATTGAAATTGGAGATTCCTACATCATATATTCATGTAATATGCTTTTTCATTGATTAAACAATTCTAGGGTTTGTATTTCCTCTTTTTGAATTGGTTTTTAGTTTAACTTAACTCTTATTAAGCTTTCATGGAATTAATCATGTTTTTTCCATTAAAAAATTGAAATATTGGTTTGAGTTTAAATTTCAAATACTTTATTGGTGTGATTCAATTACTGCTATATGTTAGAAATATATGGTCACTTTTTAAATCTGATTTCAATAAATAAAAGTGAGAATTTGACCTAGGAAATCTAAATTCTAGAATTACATGTGAAATTAAATTGATTTCAATTACTAAATCCTCTTATTAGAGAGTTAGGATAAAAACTTTTAATTAAGTAGAAAATGTATGAATTATTGATGTTGATTGATTCAATCCAATTGAGGGAACTCCGATACTTCACTATTCTACATTTTGATTTTAATCCTATTATTTCATCATTTGATATTCACATTTTAATTCAATAAACAAATTCTTTTCGATCAATTCACGAGAACCCTAAATTATTGAACTCTCTGTGGATACGAGACCCCAAATATGCACTACAACTACCGCATTATTTTTTGGGCGTAATGAGCACACATTCGTTATGTATAAAATTCACCCATTTCACATAAAATTTGTTCTAAATTTCTATAAAGATAGGTGTATTAAAAGTTAAAACTTTTGAAATCTGATCAATTATATATTTAGTACCTGATAAATTGTATCGATGGTCCATGATGTATACTAAAGAAAATAACATAAACAAGTCTTCCCAATATCTTCTAAACTTTAGTTCCATAGAATATATATTTCAATTAAAACCGGGTTGATTTTTTGTATTTATGAAAAATCCTTGCAATTATATAAAGACATTCAAGCACTATATAATTAATGGGATAGCAAACTCCAGATAAAATATTTGTAGTCATAAAAACTTGTCAATTTTTTTTATTTAAAAAGCTAAAAGCCAATCGGTTTCATTCAAAATAGTTTTATCATCGTTTCTAATATGCATATTGTTATAAAGTTCAGTTATTAAATGTTTAAAATCTTCGCATGATTTTAATAATAAGTAAGTGGAGTTTCATCCATGCACTACGTCACTAACAAATGTTTTCGTATTTATTATTCCAAATCCGAGACAAAATTCCTCAAAAATTTGTTTTCTACTAGGTGAATCGTAATGTATACTAATGCATCCATAATTCTTTGAATTCCATTCTTAATATGTTTCAAACCATCCTGCACAATTAAATTAAAAGTATGACACACAACGAATATGAAACAAATAACCACCGAAATCGGGCTGTGATACCCTACACAATTTATCGATGACTGCCTTATTAATACTAGTGTTGTCGAATGTAAATAAACAAATTTTACTCTTGCAATGATATTATCTGATAATGTTCATAATAGTGTTATATATATTGTTAGCGTTGTGAGGGAACTCAATAATTTTTAAAACAATAATTTTTTTTTTTTATGTATACATCAAAGTGAGTTTATTTAGCATGCAGTTGCAGCTATATAAACTCTTTTATTTATACCATTCCCATATATCCAAAATTAAAGATATAACACCCCCATGTTTTTGCAAATCAGTAATCAATTGTTTCTTTGTATGAATGAAATATTTTATTGTATTTGAACGAAAAGTGTTTCGACTTACCCCAACGTATCTTGATTAAAGATATTCTTTTACGTACGCGACGAAATGTTGGTTGTCTACTATTTCTAGAGGCAACTCAGTAGTGGCAACGAATTTCATCATTCTCGTTCGAGCTTTCTCCTCCGAATATATCCACATGGAAGTGGCGAAGAGGTAGAACCAGCGCCTAGACTACCAAATTGCAGATGCATGAGTTTGACCGACATCAAGAAGTTCATGTTTGACCACACATGCTTCGTAGTAACGATTGAGGTGAGTGGCACCAATGTCGTTTTGCTATGCCAATCGTTGACAATATTTACATACCACTTCAGACTCTGGGACTCCATTGATTACACGACCTGCTGGAATCAATTTAAAGTAATCCTAACATTTTGCTTATTTTCTCCCATTTCACTTTTCTTTTGCATCATGAATATCTAATTCTCATTCCTCCTCATGTTTCACTTTGGGAAATTAACGTCATTCAAATCAATTGTATTACTAATTCCATGAGTATCCAAATTTGGAATATTTTTGGGAATTGATACTTTGTTCAGACCGAAAAATTCATTTCGAAATTGACTTTGTGGCGTCATGGGTGATTCACCTCCGATACACAACTAGCCCTCAACAAATGAGTGTGGATCTATTTGTGAATTGTGATGTAATGTATAGTAAGTAACTAAGTAAATAAAGAGTTGAAAAAATCAAGAATTGAAAGAAAGTTGATATATAAGATTGTAATTGTAAATTTGTAGTATGATTATTGATATTGAATAATTGAAATTGAAAGTAAAAATGAAAATATAATAGATTGTAGTATGTGGAAGAGAGTGAGAGTCGTTGGAATGTTGTGTGAAAAAAAAATTGAAAATGGGTTGGAGTATTTATAGTGTAAAAAAAAAAGAAGGAAAAAAAGTGGCTAAAACGGCCACTTTCATATTTCAATGATCGTCACTGAACTTTCAACAGGGACCATTGTGCCCGTGGGCAAGCCGACCCACTCGGCTCGTGCTTGGGCTCGTCAGCAGCCCATGAGCCTTGTTTTCATGAGCCGAGCGGCCGAGCAGCTCGCCCGTTTGACCCCACTAAGAACATTATCATTAAACAACTTTCTTCAAATTAATATGTGTGCTTGACCTCTTAGAGCATCGAATCAGAACATTACCATAAAAAAACTTTCTTCGCCTCGGAAAATTCATTTGTCTTTCATTTATTCAGAATAATAGCACAGACAGTACTTATTTACCTTTTTACAAAAAAGGCGAGGCACCTACTCATGCGAATGTGTCAACATGTCAACCAGTTCTCAGTTACATAGTGGGCTCCGAAGGCTCATAGCCATATGGGTTCTTGCTGGCCAAATTCCATTGATCCCGGCACATCTCGTCAATGCCATATTTTACCCTGAAATAATGTCGACCGTTTAATCAGAAGCATGAATTTGGTAGTGAGATTTTTAAGTTTATCAATCGTTCTGAACGTACAGAAGTAAGCTTGCATGCATTGATTGAGTTCAGCACTTACTTCCAGTTTAACTCTCGTTCAGCTTTTTCCGTTGAGGCATATACAATCTGAGCATCACCTGGACGTCGACCTGCCTTCACAATAGGGATTTTCTAGAAGCAGGAAAAAAGAAGAGTATGATTATGTGGAGTAATTTGCGCTGCATGTTTTAGTTAATATATACAGAGAGCAATTATTAATGTTCAAACATTAAAATCTCATTTTATCCTTTTCCTTTCAAAACAAATACTGTGGAATCAGAGAACTAACCTCAACTCTCACCCATCTGATTAGGTAGACACGAGATAAGTAGGGAATTGACGTTAAGAAGGAAACCCTGGGAAATTTTATAGGCTTCAAAAAACACATCTCACATCCACTCAAAATGTTATTCAGTCAAAGTCACCAGAATTCTAAGAACTCAAAAAAAATCCAGATAAACTGAAAGCAATATTGCAGTAGGTTGTCTAGTACACAAAACAAAACAGTTCTGTTAACTATATAAGATGATCTGTACATTGACCAAGCAAATAAATAATATTTGATTGGGGGGAGTAGGTAGCATAAAGACTTGAGGGATATAGTCATGCTACTTGTACAAAGTTAGGTTACACAATTTGTTTACAAAATACGTGTTGGCAACATCTTGGTCAATGATTTAAAAAATAGTTTTTGAAATCAATGATCTAGATCTTGCCACATCATTTTGTCATACACTTTTGTAAACCACGTTTGTACAAGTAGCATAATTGTGAGGGATATGCTTCGCTTTTTGGTCCCCAAAAATAATGCCGAACCCACTAATTATTTTTAACACCACATTTATATAATACCTTCGGGTGTGTTATAGTTAATAAAAATACAACAGCCCTTCTTGTTTCTACCAGTGATGTCTCATAAACCCGACCTCGAGTAATGGGCCCGACCTAGGCCCACCACCATTGGCCTAAAAAATGGTCTTGGTCCAGGTCGCGCTCGAGCTCGAGTCCACACCACCCAGCTGTCCTCACATCTCCCCGATCCACACGAATACCACCCATGAACGCCCGAATTCATTACACTCCCCTAATCCATT